TAACAAAAAACTAATATTTAGAATATATAAAGAACTAAAAAAAAAATCACATCACCTGAAGACCCAATGCAAAAATGGGCATCTGAAATGAATAGACACTTGTCAGATGCAAAAGTACAAACAAAATAAATGCATGAAAAAATGCTCAATATCACTGGTCATTCCAGAAATGCAAATTAAAACAACACCAAGATTCTGTCTCACTCTAGAAAGAATGGCTGTCATCTAGAAGTCACCCAAAAATGGTGGCTGGCAACGCTTTGGTAAAAAAGGAACCCTTCTTCACTGTTGGTAAGATTGTAAGTTGGTACAACCAGCGTGGAAATCAGTATGGAGATTCCTCAGAAAACTAAAACCAGAGGTTCCATTTGACGTAGCTATTCTCCTGTATATCTTCCTGAAATAATTAAAAGTTTCATACCACAGCGATCTATGCTTACCCATGTTTGTAGCAGCATAATTTGTAATAACTAAATCTTGGAAACAGCCTAGATGCTCATCAATAGATGAATGCGTAGACAAAATGTGGGTTTTATGTGTGTTACCATAAAGAAGCAAAACTTGAGAGACATTTTTGGGTAAATGGATGCACCTAGAAAACATAGTTTTAAGTGAAATAAATCAGACACATATGTTTAAATATCATCCAGTTGTTTCTCTAGCGTGTGAAACCCAAAGAGTAAATAAGGATCAAAATGGATGGTAGATATTGGGAAGCAGAAAGAAAATGGTCAAATGGGAAGGGAATAAGAGAGGAGAAAGGGAAAAAAAAAAAGAAAAAAAGAAAAGGAATGGAAGCAAAAATTAAAGCTTTCATAAATGGGGAGAGAAAGAAGAGTTGAAAGAAGTGGTGTGTGTGAGAAACAGGCTTTGTCTTTTCTGTTAGAGCACAAGGCTAAAGTATCTCCATTTTGGGTTTAAATTACCCAGCCATCTACTCACTACCTCTCTACCCCTGTTAATATCCTGAGTTCCAAGAAATGTTGACTGTGCACCTTTGTGCCAGTTCCCAAGATAAAGGCAAAGAACTTTCTTTCCAAATTGCAAGTCATCCCTTCTCTCTAACTACCCCATCCCTCATAATAGGAACCAAGGATTTTGAGTTCCAAACAACAGCATCCCCAATTTACTCAGCAACATACCCTTTATACCACTCGGTCAGCAGTGATAGATTGTAAGCCTTTGAATTGGGCCAGTGTATTTAAAGGTCATCTTCTCGTGTGTTCTGGAAAAAAGGGTCCACCCTCCTTTGTCTGCACACCTGCTACTTCAGGCTTCCTCCCTTCTGCAGAGGTAAAATGCCTTGAAAAGATTTCTTGAAGTCTAAGTGCTTTGTTATCTGCATTGACAAATTGAGCCTGAGGGCTCATTTCCAACAAGGGAAGTGGGGAAAAAAAATTCAAATATATTATGTACAGGTACATCTAATGACAGATGTGATCCCTGTGATGAATGTGACCATGAGTATATCCAAAGTGTACCAATAAAGTTAATTTTTAAAACATGATCTAGTTCTTTTAGAAGAGTTATGATAATTATGTAAAATTGATTTACTTGTAATAAATTTAGTGGTCTAGAACACAACTTCTTCCATATACAAGATTTTAATGGACCTACTCTGAGATTCTGTGTCTACCTCAACAAAACTAGATTTAAAAAAAAATTGCTTAGATAACAGTACTTGCTTTTAAAGTGATTGATTTTGTAACGGTATTGGAAATCACAGCTTAGGAAACAAATTTATCTTTTTTATTTTGTTGATTAAAAATCGTCGAGTTCCTTAAGGTAATTATTTACTGAAAATTTTTTTTCTAAGTATTACTCTATGCCATGACTTGAGCATGACTTGCAAACAGAAATAAGAACAAATGTATACCTTTAGAAATGACTTCTGTAGATCAAGTTGGTAGTACTGCTGTTTTTGCTATAAGTAAATAAAAAAATTATCTTTCATGTAGGGAGTGAGTTTTGCATTTAGCAAAGATTGTGGACCTTAAAGCCACCTTCTCCTCTGTTAAGTCTCTTGTTTATTTCTAGCCCTAGCTTTATCATTCTAGCTGTCTCTTTCTGCATGTTTACCTGTTTGAAGAAGTGTAAATTTGTTTAAGTTAGTATGTGTATTTAGCCAATTCAATTCCCTTTTTTTCTCTAAACTTGTGTGAGGATAAAAGAAAAGAATATTTGTTTTGTTTTCATACTATATTATAAATTACTTGAAACTTAGAATAGTGCATCATATTTCACACAGTACTGGTACATTTATGGATTAGCATTTGTGTGATGAAGGTCAGACCTTGACCTACCTCACTTTGATAATTTCCTTACATACAGTAGTTGCTAAAGTGTTTGTTGAGTGAATTAATTGCCAGGAATTATTACAGAGTAGAATTTTTTATTTTAAAGAGTATAAAACAAAAGAGAACAGAACAAAGCAAATCAGAACAGAACAATGCAAGCAACACAGCACTTCACAACAAGACAACCGGATATTAACAGTAGCTACCATAATGTCTCTTTTCTTCTAAATAGTTGAGCATACCTTCACACACAATAATATCAAACATAACAATATAGTGTACAAAGTAGAAATTTGTAACAGTGTTGTTAAAAAGTTTATATGAATGGCCACATCTAACTCCACAGGATTCTTTTAAGTTATGATCATTTTATTGTTTACCCTTACTTATTTCTCTTTTTAAAAAATTGTATAAGTAGCATATGTTCATTGTTGAAGATTTAAAAAGTTAAAGAAGAAAAATAAATCATAATCCTACCACCCAAAAATAACATTTGAATATAGTCATTTTGGTGTATATATTTTGAGATTTTATTTTATGTCAACATATGCAATCACATCTCTGTATCCAAAGATTATGTATTTGTGAGTTCAGCCAACTAGAAATCGTAAATACTTTGGAAAAAATCTGTACTAAACAAGTGCAAACATTTTTTTCTCTTGTCATTATTCCCTCTACAGTATACTATTTACATGACATATTTTGTTAGGTATTGTAAGCAATCTAGAGATGATTTAAATTACATAGTAGGATACATGTATGTGCAAATACTGTGCCATGTTGTATAAGGAACTTGAGTATTTGAACATTTTGGTATTATTAAGGAGGTCTTGGAACCAGTCCCTCATGGATACTGAGGGATGACTGTGCTTACTTAATTTTCCTTAAAAAATTAATACCTTTCATGTATATATGCACTTACATAGGCGAGTTTTTCCTCCTAAAAGCATCCTATTTTGTTTATAGAGTTCCTGAAAATATTTGTTCTCACTTGCTGTCTCCATTTCTGCCTTAAACTCATACCCCCACTTCTTGGAGCTCTCGTCAGTCTTTGACCTCCTCTGTTAAATCAAGAGATCAGTTCTTAGCTCCCATTTTGGTTTACCATCAGAAGCATTTGAAACCGTTCTTCATTTCCTCACTTTTGGCCTCTAGTTTTCTCTCCCTGCTGAGTCTTATGACCTCTTTTACTGATTTCTTTCCAGATCCATATCGCTCAGTCATGCAGTTTCAGCTGAGCATGGTAGCTTGGGCCATAATGTCTGCACTCAGGGGAAGCTGGGGGTTCACCATGAGTTCAGAAGCAGCTGATTTAAAGACTAGTGACCTATAGGGAGTGCTCTTAGATCTTGTTCCAGAAAGAAACAAAATGAAGGTGGAGAAACAGGTTAAGCTACAGTGTAGTCTTAACAAAGCCCAGGCCCACAGGACATCTGAAGCCAGATGGCTCACTGTGGCTATCCCACGTGGAAAGAAGCCATGAGGTTAAATGACATCACCAGGTAAATGAGTATAGATGAAAGTCTAAGAACTGACCCTTAGAGAACTATGTTTATACCCCATTGTCAAGCAGTTATTTGAGAGAAGCTGCCCTGGAAAGGATACATGAGGTGGACTTTCTTGAGGCATGGCAGGTCCTAAATAGAGAGCTGAGACCTGTCTGCTAGCATCCAAGGACCAAGCCCTTTCCCTGCACTTACGAATAGAAATCTGGACAGTGTCCTCTATATCATTTATAATCTTGTGATAGTATAACTGTAGGATGGGTCTGACAGATAGATTCTAAGCTCTTGGATATAACAAGCAAAGAAGTGCAAAAGGGAAAAGCTATGTTCATTAACAGTCCCAAACAGCGAAATGGCGCTAGAGCGACAGGAAAAGAACATCCCTGCTATGTAGATAAATCAAGCTTTTGGACTCAAGAGTGAGGAACAAACAGTGCATGTGCTTTAGTCACGGAGAATGTTCCGAAGGGGTAGAGGAGAGTGCATTCCTTATCCTAAGTGTTCTGTCTGTGCTAATAGGGGCTATCGGTAAATTGCCCAGGCCAGCATTGAATTTGTGACTCTTTAGCCTCTGCCTCTTTTGTATACACTAAAGTTGGAGTAATCCTTTCAAAACAAAGTCGGATCGTGCTATTCCAGTGCTCTGGGCTTCCCTCTTAGAATAAAATATTATCTCTGCTGCTTACAAGGGCCTTCATAGTCAGCTTCCACTACCTTTCTAATCTTCCTACCCTGTAGCTCATACTTCTCCAGCTCCATTGACTGTTCAGTCCAGTTTCTCAGTCGCTCTTAACTTACTCATTTGCTGTAAAGTAAGTCAATAAATAGCAATTTGGCATTTATTTGTTAGCCAGACTAATAGTCAGAAGTGTCTGTCATAACAGTATAAATGTCTTGGTCAAGGTTATCCAATGAGAAAAACACCATAGAACTTAGAAAAAGTTGGCATTTTACTCCAGTCAATCTTCTGTTCTTTCTTTTGTATCTCAGTGTAGAAAAGTTAATGCATTTAAAGTAAAAAAAATGTTAGTTTTTAAAGTTCATCTTGGTTAGAGTTTCTTGAAGATCAGTTTGGGGCTTTCCCCTCATATAATTTCTGGTGAGATGCATTTCTCTTACTTCAGCTATGTGATAGGATTGAGGTCATGCCACCTCATGCATGGAACTAATTATTTCCTGCCCTTTCTTTCTGATACAGAACCTTTCATCCTATTATAAAGGAGGATTTGAACAGAAAATGAGTCGGCGAGAAGCTAGTCTTATTTTAGGTGTAAGGTAGGTATGCTGCATAAGTGTTTTTGTTCAGTAGCCAAGCTTGTCTTGCAAAAGGAAAAGAAATGTTTATAAAAAAGTATATAACAATAAGTTTTTATATTTATATTTAAAATTGTAAATAGGAAGCAGAGAAGATATTAAATTTTTACTTTTTAAAATTTCTAATCTTCAGGAAGAGAGCAATTCTTTCTTCCTAAAAAAAAATCAGGGGAACGTGTGTTTTTTTTTTTTTTAACAAGAAACTGTTGTCTTTGAATACACAGTTTCATATCAATCAATGATAATATCCCTTATTGTGATACTGAATTCTCTCTTGTCTCAGTTTTACAATTTTAAATACATACATACTTTTTAAAATTATAGTAAGGTTGTTTTCTACTTCTTTTTTTTTTGTCTTTTTCGTTTTTATCGGTACCAGGGATCACGACTGCCTGCTTACAAGGCAGGCGCTTATGCCGCTGAGCTAAATCCAGCCCAGTTTTCTGCTTCTTTATCTTGACATTTAGCATATTTATTTTACTTGTTTCACCTTAGAATCAATTTATTATCTAACTTTGGACAGTAGAAGAGGAAAGTTAATAGTATTATAATGTGTGATTTATTTAACTCTTAAAGTTAGGTACAATTGTATTCATTTGTTTCGCTTATATTCATTTAACTCCCAAGTCTGTGAGCAAATTGATTATTATATGTCGACAACAGATCTGGTAGTGATTTAATAAATATAATTAAGCAGAATAGTAATGAAATCTTATATTGGCAGAAAACATTTTAACCTCATGCACATCAGCATATTGTTAAGCCAAACATTCTATTTTTTATGACCACCATGAAAAAGGTAAAGAAAAGAATATGCCTACCAGTTGGCAGTTTCACTTAGTGCTTTATTTAAATTTAACAGGACAGAGTTCTTATCACAGAATAGTAAAGGATGTATCACACTAAACAATGGAACAAATCAAAAAGCTATATTGCTAATTATTTCTTGCTTAGTATTATTTAAAAGCTTTTATTTTTCTTACTATTGACCTCTCATAATATCCTGCTTGTAGTCTTGAGATGTGACTATGAAATATATTATAAATCCAAATATAAAGATTCGAAGGATAATTGTTCAAGGCATCTATGTTATTATGACAGATAAATAGGAGTTGATATATTTTTTAGTTTTCTTTTAAGATACATGATGTAAGTTTCATCCACTTGAACTGAATGCTCTACAAAATGCACAAGGAAAATTTAGCGATTAAGAGCACATACTCTGCTGGGCATGGTGGCGCATGCCAGTAATCCCAGCACTTGGGAGGCTGAGGCACAAGGATTGCCGTGAGTGCAAGGCCAGTGTGGGCTACACAGCAAAATCTTGTCTCAAAATAAATAAATAAACAAGCAAAAAAAGGGCACAAACTGAAGGCCAAATCTTGGTGGGAATACCAGTTTTACCACCTGTTACTTTCAACTGTGTTGAGTTGCTATGAAGATTAAATTATGTAATGTACAGGAAATGTTTAATCCCACACATGGTACAGAGTCTACTTAATAAATGGTGACTTAAGAGAATATATCCTTATCCTGATTCTGCTCCTTCGGGACTGCATTATATGATCTGAGTCAAGTTCTAGCTTTTATGTACTTTACTTCTTCATTTTGAATTGAAATTAATATTATTTGCCCTGTTAAAGTAATGTAAAAATGATACACTGGTATCTTCTTATATAAGTGCCTACTGATAAATTGCCAAATAAATTTTGGCTCCTTCTCATCTCTATCATGAATGTAGAAGTTAAATATTTGCCTTTATACATTAGATGAAAAGATGAAACTTACCTGTTTTCCTATAACCCATTTTCTCAGTCAGACAGCATTGATAAAGATGATACATTTTAAGTTACGAATGCATTGGTATGGCTCCATTTTCTGTGGTTGCTAAACTTTGTAAGCTATGTAAGAAGTAAGTAAAGATAAAATCGAGGTGATTCTTTTGATGCCCTATTAAAGAAAACTGAACGCTACTGGCAGATTCCTCTTCTTACACATTCTTAACCTACTACATTTAATGGTGATTCTTTGCTAAGATGCATATTTGTCTTTGTTTCATGGTTTTCATTGCAAAAGAATAGTTTTATGCACTATAGTTTTCTTATCTCTATTACAAAAAAATCTAAAATAATTTACTGTACTGCCCAGGAAAACAGTTACTATAGATGGTATTACCTAAAATGGTACACACCTGTGATTTTCAGACTTTCTAAAAACATCTGTGAAATTCTAAATATTATTTAAAGGCTTAATGGTGAAAAAAGATGAAACTAAAACCTCTTTATTTGCTACAGGGTTGGGAAACACCACTCAGTTCCATATACCCTATTCCTTAACTACCAGCCAAATATATTTTAGAGAGCACAGTTTGAAATCCTTTATCTATTTATAGTTGATATCTGAAGTTACCGTTTCAATTTCAGTGATGTTGTATACTGAAGATATCACAGCTATGTTTAATTTTTCTAAGTTTCTCCCATCTTTAATTGCCAAAACATCAGATGTATTAAAATATAGTACAGTTCTAGGGATTTAGTATAGCTATCAGAGAAAAGGAACAGCTCTGCAGGCAAATGAGAATACTTCTCTTGTTCTTGAAGCTTATCATTGAGTCTAATAATTATTATCTTGAAGGCATAATGTTTTGAATTGTCATACTTGTGCATATGAACTTGTGTTGTTTAATCTAGTTTGGTTGTTGGCAGATAACAATATATATCATACTTTATGGATTTTTATGTACAATGCTATGTATACCATTTTTAATAGGCAGTATAATTGATTTTCAAGGATAATTTTGACTGAAGTGATGTTCAGATTTTATGTGTTTAGTTAAAACTTATATCCAGAATAAGAACATCATTCCATACATGCTAATAAATGCACAATGGAAGTTTCAGTTTTTTTGAATTTATATCTTCCTAATCTAGTGATGAGCTTTATGAAATGAGGTTTTTATGTCTTCCTTTTTAACTTTTTAATTTTTCTACTTATTTTATTTATTTAGTTTTGGCACTCTTGTAACCTAGCACTCTTGCGCTGGGCTTTACATCACTAGCCCTTTTATTAAATTTTGAGATAAGGTCTCACTAAGTAAATTGCTGAACTCCGACTCCAATCCTCCTACCTTAGCCAACCAGAGTGCTAGAGTTATAGATGTGTACTGTCATGCCCATTGATAGCTTTCTGACAATGCTACAGTGTTAGTATTTGGTAATATAGAGGCTTTGTTCTTTCAGGAGGTTTGCCTTTTTCCAGCCACTTTTGGGGAGAAGGTGGTATGAGATACATTAGATACCCTTTGCTTATGTAATCAGAGCCTCTGCCCTTAGGGTAATGTAGAGTATTTGAAGGATACATGTCAGATATATATGGGACAATTAGAAATCATAACTAATAAAGAAGAGAAGTGTTAATACAAAAAAGTGAATGATAAATGTAGATTAACCACAGGAAACTAAATTATGCTGAAATTTCAGGGTTATGTGTTTTTAATTTCTTAATAGACAATTAAATAATATGGTGCTTATAGACCCAGTACAATGTCTAATAGTTACTTTCTCAGAAGTGTTTTGTAATCAGTATTTGACAGTATCTGGGAGGCACCTACAAGCCAAAAAGTACATTTGCAGTAGTCTTCCAGAAGACTTCTGTAAACAACCAAAAGTAATACCCTTAAGTCCTTCCATGGAAAGACTCATTTGATTGATAACAGAATATTTTATGTCGTATTTGGCAATTAATAGCACATTTAACGTGCTTGGTAATCTATTATTTACCTGAAAGAAGTTAGAAGTGGCAAGTAACTGGTAGGAAAGTGAGAGAATGGAACACTAGCAGAATCAAGGGTTGACTCCTGATAGCAAAAGAGGGACAATGTGCAAAACAGAGCATCTTAGATAACATTCTGGGTCCTCTGAGAAGGCGAGCAAGCCAACCTCTGCAGACCTTGAGAGCTACTTTGCCGTGTTAATGTATCTGAATTGCTCAAGAAATGGTTAGGTTAGATTCTTTATACTCTTGTTTTTTAAAAGTACAAAATCTATAACGTATTTTTATAAGTATCTTTCCTATCCATCGTACAGCTCTGTCTTACTAATGTTTTTACTTACTTACCTAATTTATCTTCAAAGTAATCCTGGGAGGTAGATAGATTGTCTTATGTACATTTTACATGTGAACAAATTAGAACTCAAAGAGTTTAATATGCAGAACAAAATTTCATAGCTAATAAGTATTGGAATTAGGAATTGGAACCTAAAGTAATTTTTAAAATGCACAATTTTAGGCACTACAGTGGTTCATCTGTGTATTATAGCATTTTGGAGCTTCATGACAACTGAACTTTAAACCAGATATTATTATCTTCATTTGAGGCCCAAAAAAGTTAAGTAGTTTAGATAAAATAGTGTATTATTAAGTAGTGTAATAGAATTTTATTGTTAGTGGTTTTTTCCCATGCCTAATGATAAACATTTCCAATATTGAATAAATTGGATTTTACCAAAATAAGGTTTATTTGACTTTCTCCTTTAATTTTAATTTACAGCGTGGGCTTTGTCTTCATTATATTTCTCATTGCTAAGACAAAATACCTAACATCCAAAATTGAAGGAAGAAAGGTTTATTTGGCTCACAGTTTATAGAAGTTTCAGTCCATAATTGGCTGGCACCAAGGCAGAGTGGCATGGCAGCGGGGCATCTAAGAGGGGAAACAGTTCATGGTGGACAGAAGATAGGAAAAACAGCAGGCAGGGACAAGGACAAGCCTCTTTCTGTCTCTTACATCAGATGTAGCACTCATACCCTCAATCCCAGCATTGGACCGTGAATATCAATCACAAGCTCTAAATTTAGTCACCTCTAAAACTTCCCCTGCAGGCGCATGCACACAGATACACACTGTGACTGCATAAGGTTCTGAGGGGACATCCTGACAAAAACTATAACAGGCTCTAATGACAAAGCCTTTCCAAAAGGTTTCTCATGAAGCTAAATAAACTATGAGATAAAGAGGGTTTGGGGATCCTCCAGAGAAAGATAATAAAGCTAAGAATTAGCACATGCTTATCCCATGCACTGCTGTAGCACCTCAGCTAGCCGTTTAGCTTATAGTTGGTCAATGAGGAACATGTCACTAGCTCTGTTTTGAGATGAGGAAACTGAGCACACAAAGAGGTTAAAAATTTGACCAAAGTTACCCAGTTCTCAAGAGCACTGCTAGAATTGAAATCCAGTAGTCTAGCTCTGGAATCTAGGTAACTTCTAAAATAATATATGCTACTTTTCCAGAACAACTTAGAAGCATAACTTATGGTCTGCATACAATGACTCTCCCAACTCATGCATATGTTTTATTCTTTTTACTGAGAATAAAATCTGACACTAGAAAAGATTGAAGAATTAATACAATGTGTCATTATTAATGATTTATTCTGATGGTTAGTAGAATTAAGTGAAAAGTTGTAATTTTATATTTGTCCACAAGATGGTGAAATTCTCATTAGTTTTTAATTTCTTGAAACCCATATAAATTGTTAATTTATAACTTGCATTTGGCACTATTTATTATAAGTGCCTTATAATTTCTTTTTACAGCCCATCTGCTGGCAAAGCCAAGATTAGAACAGCTCACAAAAAAATCATGATTCTGAATCACCCAGATAAAGGTAGGTAGAATTTCTGTTTTTCATAATATGTAAATATGTTGTGAGTTTCTTTGAATTTACTTAAATTACTTGTAAATGGTGTGTTGTCAAGGTGGAAGTTTATATGTCACATGTGTTGAGATTTTTCTTATAAATAAGTGGTTTTATATTGGAGTTCAATGACTTAATATAGTAGATTCATAACTTTCAAGAAATTTACTGGCTGCCTAATGTTTCTGCCATTTTGATCAAGAACGAAAACATGAATTGGGGACTCTTCAATGGAATAAGCTGATTTATTTAACATCAAACACAATATTTGAAAGATTTCTTCTACATTTCTACATGTAATATGTCATAAATGACTGAATTTTTAAATTTTATTGTGGAAGGCTCTGAGGCTGAGCCATTTGTTTTTAACTGGCCAAGCTTTTAATGTAAATTTATCTTACAAAAGACAGTTATTATAACTTTAACTACACTACAGCTGTTTGATAGAGAAAGGCCATATGTTCATTACTGTTTCTGCTTTAAAATAACAGATGGTAGGAAGTTGTACTGTATTTCAGAAGTCAAAGGGGGGAAGGTATACAGGTTTTCTTAGATTCTTATTTACAGATTTTAGTTTTATAATTACTGTGAAGATATTAAAAACAAAATTTTGAATTCCTATTCATTTTGACACCAAAATAAGGCAATTCTTTTTCAGTTTTCTCAACTTAATTACTTGCTATAAAAATTCCTTTTACTGAACATCATCTCCATTGGTTTTTGCACTTGCTGTTCTTTAGTGTGAATAAACAAGAGAATAAACTTTGAAAAGAGGTTTTGCTTAAAATATCTAAACAGTTTCAACAGTTACTATGATAGATCCACTCAACTAATTTACTTTGCATTGTGCACCAAGTAATTGAGACACAAATGTGCTTAAGTGCCTCCTTGAAGCTCTCTGTCTCCTAAACATCCCCTGACCTTTCCAGGTCAAGTGACTATCCTTGGCTCTAATTGATTGCAGTAGGGTCAAGCACTGACATTTCTTAGATGTTGACTTTTTTTTTTTTTTAACTATGCCTGCTGTCAAGGAAGCAAATTCTAACATGTATTTAAGAGAATGTGTATTTCTACATGCTTTTATTTAAAAATTATTGTCTGTCATGTCTTGTGAGTCAATAGCATTTACAGAAATACTTGATTTGCCTTGGAAAACAATATATTTATAAGAAGTGGGATTGTTCATTCTAGTTTGCTTGTTAATATCCTCTCGTCTGGCCCTTTGTGGATAGCTGGGGTTGAATATGAACCAGCAAACAAGAGTTCACCTCTCTGGTTTCTGCCTTATAGCTGGGACTCTGGCCTTGAACACTTCCTGCTCTTCTTCAAATGTCAGTTTTATCATGTATAATAAACAGGTTTATTTTTAAAGTCTTTTTATTTACATGGTTTAATGTAATCTTTTACATTTATTCAATTAATGAAGAACTGGTACCCTAAGTTTCTATTCAGGTCACATTTTGAACTTAAGAAAAACTTAGTCTTTTCAGATTATTGTAACTTCTAAGAATGTATTGATCATTGGCATTTTTTCCATGTAATTGCTCATTCATGCAAAACATTTCGAATTTCATAAATACCCAAAATGGGTAATATGTTTGTATTATGTAGCCTACAGGGCATATCATCAGTTAGGTCATAAAGGTACATTATTGTGGGTGTGTAATACCTGTGTTTATTCTTTAGAATATTTCCATTGATGTATTATATTCACTTTAGCTTATGATTTTTAGTATATCAAAGAGTGCATGACAGGTAAATTTAAAAATCATGCAGTGAGGTTTTAGTATTTATTGTTTACAAAAAAGCATCAAAATTTTCAACATCAACTGTTTGTTGGTATAGTAAGTCTAATTAACCCCACAGATTTCTATATAAACTACAATGAAAACACAAATAGAACTGTACAAAAAATAATCTCTATTTCAATTGTTACACCAGTTTTCACATGACAACAGCATGTTCCATACACATGTATCACTTGCACCAACAGCACATGTGTTTTGCTCTCCTGGATTTTTTGTAGGACACACTTAACATCTTGCTGATCTTGTTGTTTTGTCAGGCAGTCCTCATGTTATACAATGTGTAGTCAACAGTAACAAAGTATCAATAAATAAAAGTATTAAATTCTTCATACATATTGCATGTTTATAATAGACATCAGTATTTTCGCATCAGATGTATACTTGTTTACAAAACCTAAAAGATAACATCAGTAATAAATTCTTAGATGAACTACAAGGAAAATACCAATATAACTCTGCAACAAAAATAAGCTTTGCTTCAATTGTCACACTCAAGACAGTCTTCATACTTGACAACTACCTGCTCCATGCATACATGTCACTTAAACCAATATCACACGTGCTTTCCTTTCCTTTGTGGCAGACCATTCTTATCACCTCTCTACTCTTCCTGTTTTTGTCAAGAGCTTCCTAGTCTATTGTACAATGTACACTTAGCAACAAAATAAGATATAAATTTAAAAAAGTATAATGAGTGCTTAGACTAGAAATCAACATTTTCACATCAGCATAGTAAGGTTTTGCATCTACAAGGGCATAACTTTTTATGCCATATTTTGAAGGTTTTTTTGAGAAAGTACTGCTGGAAGCTACACTGTAAAATGGTGCTAGATGTTCATCAATAATCATATTTTCAGATGGTGTATAAATTGCTTGACAATTATCCTTAGGTTTCTCAAACTATGAGCAGATAGCAGCCACATAAATCAATTCTTTTTCTTTCTTAAGGGATGATTTTGTCATCCAACTTCAGGCAATTCTGAAGGAAACCAAATCTCCTCAGTGTTGCAATTAGTGTACAAACCTCAAGCTCACACTCATCACTTTTCCATAAGTTTTACATTTCTGTGATTACCAGTGGAAAGCCCTGCTAAGTACAGCAGACCTATGAATGGTTTCAGTTCAGCTAGTTGAAATGTCATAATTAAATATTTTGAGTATGGCTATTGATGCATAGAGAACATTTTAGTTGTATTTCAGTATTTGTGTATTTCACAACATCTTGTAGCATTTGCTCTGTTACAGTTTCCAACATTGAATCGCAGGGCTGGCATTACTCTAATAGGTTTCACCCCTGCCAAATACTCTCACTATATTTTTGGACCTAGTTCTAACATTAGATCATTCCATTTGGTTGTGTGGCCATTTTGTAATATTTTGACTAGTCAAATATGTACTCAAATTGCTGTTTTCTGTCTCATGACTCAAGGAAGTCTGCATTCATTGTGTCTATATCATCAATTCTTGTTCCCTTTCACTGTCACAGGGACGTTGGCACACATGGCTAATGTCAAAGTCATCATCTTCTTCATCTATGGGTGAATGATTTGATGATTCACTTTTGCCTTCTCCAAAACTTGGAAATCTGGTTTTTCATGTGGCATTCTACTGAATTGGGCTACTTCTACCAGAAAAATCAAAAGAAAACTTAAAAAAAAAATTTCAAATGCACAGAAATTTAGCAATGAGCATTTCATAAGTAAAACTCTCCTGTTGCTGCTTTGGGTCTCTTGTACACACCTTGTTCATTTGCCAAGTGAGTGAATGCACAGATTATAAGATATAGGCATAAAATGCACAGATATACTGGACTTTTTTCCCAGACACAGCTGCTGTAAGTCACACCCATGTTCCATTTATGGTGAAATACATGTTTACAGAACAGAAAAGTGGTGTGGGTGTATTTTACCCACTGTGATGCTCAAGTAAATATACAACCTTTTAGATGGAGCATTATGTGGATAAAAATCCACATACTCTTCCTGTTTTTGTCAAGAGCTTCCTAGTCTATTGTACAATGTACACTTAGCAACAAAATAAGATATAAATATTCAGAAAAAGGATTACCAACAGTCAACATGAATTCACTAAAAGAAAGAAATGCATAGTTTAATTTTCATTTTTTGTTAGATATACTGGACTTTTTTCCAAAGATCTCATTGCCTGCCTTCATTTTGGCATTTTAATTAGACTTAAGGCTTTACGTTTGAGTTATTTTTTGGGTAAAGAGTTCATTTTGTCTTATCATGTATTGTTGTCTTTGATAAATGGTAAAATCCTTAAAAGTAAAGAACATGAATTGCTCATCTTTATAATGTGTATTGTTGATATATAAATACTAAATTTTTTTGATGAATAAGCAGATGGGAAAAAGAAGGGATACTAATAAAAATGGTATATAAAACACATTGATCATATCAAAATTTTAAGGCTTATTAAGTTAATATCAAGGGGACTGAAATTTTTTTCTAACATTTTTTCAGCATCTGTTATGTGCCACACACTGCTAAAATTTGAGAATATGAGCTATGATGAAATTCTTGTCTTTGTAGAGCATACATTCTAAAGAAACAACAAACCAAAGACAAGGAAACCTGCTTCAAGTTTTGATAAATGCTATAAGAGTAAGAGAGGTACTTAATGCAGGATGCTTAAAAGTACTGTCTTATAACAAATGAGAAGTTAGCTACATGAAAGGGAGTTCTCTTGTGCAAACAATCCCACCAGCCTAACTTTTTCAGGCTCTTAAGTTGAAGACATGAGGAGAGACAGCATGGGATGAGATGATGTCCACATTTTAAACTCAAGCTTATGATAATGGAGCGCTGTTGGTGCTACACATTTGAACTTTGTTCTAAATGCAAAGAGAAATTACTGCCAGCTTTTAAGCAATAGTATACCTTCTGTGGAATTGGTTTCCTTTTATCCTCTATCCCAATTTATGTCTTTACTCATTTTGAAATATTAAAGTTGTTATTTTTTTATTATAAATAACATAATACCTAAAAATTGTGAATAAAGCATTATACATTTTTACACATACTTCTAATTTCTAAAGAAAATACTTGCATTCTGATACCAGCTTCTGCATTCATTCTCTTATGGTATGTTATTTTGTTTAAATTTATAGTATAAATATGTATGGCTTCACACAATAGGTAG